GTGAGATCCTACCGCGGGTGTTGTTTCTGGTATTAAACACGTAAGGTCCTTTTAAAAAAAAAAAAAAAAAGAATCAGGGATGACAATTTTCTATTAAATGCAAGCAGAAATACTATTGGTACACAGCACTGCTTCTCCTCCTGACTTTCACGCTGTAGCTCACTGGTTAGGTTGGCCAGAACAAATCGGACTCTGTGCCACGCTCACATCTCTCCGGGTCCCAGGAGGAAGCGCTGAGCCCCTGCCTCCACTGGCCCCGGCCGGTCTCCGCTCTTCTGCGAAAGGTACGGCAACTTGCGGAACACGGCCAGAGGCACCGGGGCAGGGCTCTGGGGCAGGGCTCAGCAGCGTACCCTCCAGGCAGGAGCTGTGGCACTCAGGAGTCTGAAACACTTCTGTCAGTGACTGGGAACTGGGCAAGCTGATCTTTGGCCTGACCCCATTTTTAAGTTATTATTTAGATCATTAATTTTGTGTGTGCCTTATTTTTGCTTTCAGCCACCCATGCCTGCCTTCCTAGAGAAGCCATCATCCAAAGTATACTGCGTCTATTCACTATTTTCCCCTTAATTTATCTACTGGCAAAATCCTCAATCTGTTTTAAATGTAATGGCATAGCTAAAATCTTTTTGTTTAAATAACCTTCTCGTCCTTTTATCAGACACAATTTATTAGGAAAGCCCATCTGGCAAATCCTTTTGCTACAGAGGAGCAAAACCTACCCTGTATTTGCAATACATTATTGCCAGGTGCAGAGTGATTTAAAAATAGCACTTCTGCTAACATAGCAGAAACATCATTACCCATGAGCTGGGCTTATTTGAGAATAAAATGTAAAATTACAATAAAATAAAATAAAAGCCGCAGCGTGATGGACGTGGTTTCAAACATAGCACTCTCCCAGTGCTTCTTACTTAGGCCAGGTCTGGCGGGTCCCGGCTCAACAGGCTTCTTGTTGGAGATTCCATTATTTAGCATTTATTTCCTTAGCCCTCCTCATGGACTGCAGACGTCATGGGCATCCGATGTGGAATTGTAACCCCCTTTTTCCAGGAGGCAACACCAACATGTTGACAACAGGGCACTGGGCTGTTGCCACGCCTTTTCAGATTTAATTCTGAAATGTTATTTTTTACCTGAAGTTAAATAATGAAATACATTCATCGTTTATAGAAAACTCCCAAATCTGAATGGGCACGCTTTCCCTGAGCTCTGCCACGGTATCCGGCATGATTTGAAGATCCCACACTATTCTGCCGCTGAAACCACCTCCTCTGTCTGTACGCTGGAGGCCTGCACGGAACATCTTGTTAGCCTTCTCACCCATCTGTCTCGAAAACTACGTGCTGCTTGTATGGCCGTTTTAGCATGGGAAGAGATCCCCCAGCTGAAGACGCTCTCCAGAGGTGAAGGGGCACTGTGTTGTGCCATACATCCCGTTCTTTTACTGGATGCTACTCAGGTGTCCCAGAAACAAAGATTCTTCCTTCCTTTTAATGCGGGGATTTGTTTTTTTCAGACTCCTAGTGCAATATATTCCACCACTGTGCTTTTGAAGTGCAGTCAATTATTTTTTCCCTTTAAGCTGAAGACCATTTTGTTTGATCGTGAATTTCAGAACCAACCCTTCATGGTTTTCATACATGTGATCTGGCATTTCACCATCAGCTGTAGTTGCTAGGTTTTGGATTTCAGCTTATAAAGCTAGGGCTCTGGAAAGATTTGTTCATGTAAAGATGCCACTATACAGAGATTTATGTGGAGTCATTTTTTAAATACTCTTTTTGAATTTCCATTAAGATGTATTTTCTGGAAGAGCCAGCTAAATACTTCTGAACTGTAAATATTGGGACAGTTCTGAGGTGTTAAAATATCCAGCCAGCCTTTATGTAAGCTCACGACTGAAGTTGGTAAGGAAAAGGAAATGTTCGTCTGTTTTTGCTATGCCCTGTACTGACCTACTGCACGGAGATGTTGCACAGGTTCCCTGGGGGGGCTGAGGCAGCCGCGTTATTTCAACTACCGTAATTTTCTGGCTCTGTAATGTGGCAAAGGTTTTGTTATTCTGAAAGCACCTGGACAGCAGTAAGCTGGACCTATTGCAGTGCAGCTGTGTTAAAGTCAAAAAAGCCAGCAATTGAAGAAGAACACTGCAGCAGCTGCAAGAAATCTTTCTGTTTAAACAGAAAGATTAAAAAAATTTAAGAAAGATTTAAACTAACTTAAAAAGTTTATTCCGTTTGTCCAACTCTCAACTGCTTTGCTATAAACAGGAAATGAAACATTTGTTCATTTTGAGAACTTGAATATAGTGGCAAAGAACATTTTGCTCAGTAGCTCCCATCTACAGTAAAAGTTTCATTTCAGTGAATGATTCACTTGAGGCCCTCACTCTTCAGCGTAGCTCAGTTTTCTTCTTCTCTATAATTCAGATAAATATATATGTCTATATGGGGAATACATGATGGCTGGTGATACATATTCATTGATGGTAAAGTCAAAAGGAAATGACTTTACAAAATGTACAACGACTCTCACCTGCAGGCTTGTACATTCTTTATACAGAAATACAGAATTCTGTATTCAGTGTAATATGTACATTCGGATTTGGAAACATATGTGACTCCTTACTGGAAAACAGGCAAACCTGTTAGCTTGGATCTAGATTCAAGCTTGCTAAATTTGGAACCTCACATTTAAACTTCTTTAAAGTTTAAGGGGTTTTAGGTCCATGCTTGTAAAAAAAGCATCTTTATTTAAGATGTGGCAGCACGGCTAAGAATTCTGGTGGCTCCTTCACAATGAAGTTCGTAGATGGTCATTAAGTTAAAATCAAGTCATCTGCTTTGGCATCCCCAGAACTGCTGCAGTTCTACCTCCTCCAGCCCTCTACAAGGGCAACTCTTTTGACAGGAGAAACGAGTATACCTCCACGGAAGACAGAATTGGACTCTGTGTATGTGTTCATCATAGCTAACAAAACTGTCTTCTGATTCACTATTTACTTGGTGATTTAAGTCCTTTTGTGCATCCACTGACAGATGAGCCCTGCATTCTTCAGGGAATTCAAATCACTTGGACGATTCTGGTCAAGAGATCACTCAGTATTATTGGCAGAGGTTCCTTCAGTGTTCCTCAATGAAACAACAGCTCTCCTTAAGCCTCCAGCTAACTATATTTTTTACTTTTCAATTTTAGTTAAGATTTAGAAGGAGAGAAAAAGCAGATACGCACAAAGTTGAATCCAATCATTTTCCCTTCAACTGCCATGACATTTTCATGGAACACTTGTCCTTTCTCATCAGTACCAGCGCAAGTCAAAATGAGCTATGCAATTCAAATGGAATGTTATGCATATGAAGATGTTTTATACATTTCGTCTTTTTATGTGTGAATCATTATTATGTAAGTTACAATGGAAGGAAGAATATAGATCTGTTTATAAGATTTATTCAGGGCAACTGAAAAACAATTTTTTAGATCATAGCTGCTAGGAAGCAGAGAACGGTCGCTTCACCTGTTTGTACTGAGCCTGATGCTGTGGGTCCCCTGGGTATCTCCTGAACCCTCCTGTGGTACCTGCAATATCATGACCTCTACGGCTGATACCGGTGTAACACATACATACACAACCACGTCTTCTGCTTATATAAATGAGAAAAACAACACTAAAGCTGCTACGGTTCGTTCTGTTATAATCACTGAGTTATTTGATGCACTAACTCAAAGAAAGGTCACAGTCAAACTGTAGAAAGGGGCTTTTCATACAGAGGACTCTGAAAAATATATGCTATTGACCCCAACAGCTTATGAACGATAACTGAGCACTTTAAAGCTAAAAATAACTGAAATCACAAATACTAGCTTAATAGCAGCTACGTAATTAGTGCTGTCTGATCCCATCAGAAGCTCATAAGCACTAAGCAAGCAGTTTAAGTAGTGTGTGAAAGGTTTAAATTATTTAAGCTACTTCTTTAACATACAGTAACAGAACTAAATAATGAAAATTGCAGTTAAAAACCGAAGTATATTTTTAATTGAAGAGGGACGCACTTTTGTCAGGATATAAAAGAAATGTAAAGCTCATCTCTAGAAGGCACTAAGTATGCTGACCCCGGTACAGAACTTGCTTAATTTTCAGCCTGTGAAAGAGCCACTGAAATGATTACTAACATGCCTGAAGTTAAAATCATTCTCATCGGTCTTTCTGGGTGGGAGTCAGAACACTTATCCTGTGGGATCTAATTCTTAAATCCTGAGGACTGTACTTTACTTTTAATCTTTAAACTTAGTATCAATTCAGATTAAATGCTCTAAAAGCAGCCAAATTGTTGTTATTAGTGTAACTAAAATACCTTTCAAAAGCTTACAGTAAATGGTTTTTAATTATCTCTGAAATTGTTATTTGGAAAACACAGACCGTTTCTCATTTACATAGAGTTACTTTTTTATGCTGTTCTGATTGAAAACAGACGGAAATTACATTTACAAACATTAAAAACCTTTTTATAGTCCCTAAATTATGTAAGAGGCCTCATTAGAAATGCGAATTTGGCTTCATATTCATCATATGGTAGCAGAAAAAACCCCACAGTTTATAAACTTCGGAATATACTGAATTCAACTATTATTAATTCAATATCAATTACAGTATGTGCACAGTTAAATGCTAAGGTGCTCTTACTATTTTGTATTAATTCTGAAACAGAATTTGGTAGCCAACATACAAATCATCCATCAGTACAGAAAAAACAACAGATGCTGGGCTATTTTTCTTGTTTAAAACCGTATAAAATTTTGCTTGGAATCAGGTCTCTAGATTTGTCTTTGAAATAACAACACAAAGACTCAAATTCTTTTCTGACTTAACATGAGGCTGTTTTTCTATATCATAAGATGAATCATATGGGAATTATGCTTAATAGTTGGCTATTAAAAATGGGAAGGAAAGCTGAAAAGCTAGATGTTACCTTCATGTTTACAATTTCTGGAAGTGCACACACTGAGATGAAAAAATCTTACACGACTTCTTTAAAACACGGTCAAATGCTGACCTGGTCAGTAACAGCGGTCATTCCTAAACGGAACCAGAAGGCTGTGGAGTTCGGGTAAGATGATGGGACCGATAAGCTGTTCCATGAGGTGTTATATAATTTTTGGTACTTAACAGATGGGTTTCATTATCTAAGGAAACTAATAAAATTACTTTTCATTCTACTGTAGACCCAATTTTGTTTTATGACCCATACATAAAATTTGAAACAGGATCTGTAAATGGAAGATAACAAGTACCTGACTTTTTCAGTCTGAAACTCATGTCTTCTATGGTATAGAAATATATTCATTGGCAAGTCTTCATTTTCTATCCTAAAAATGATTATATAGTCTCGTTTTGTATAGTCAAACAGCTGCCGTACTCATTGCCAGCTACAAATATATACTTGGCTCCAGAGGCAAATCATATCTCCAAAATTAAATGCAAGCATAAATCTGATCATTCCTCTCTAGCTGCTTCTTTTTTCATTTTTCAAGTCTGAGGTTAAAACATTGAGACCTCATCTTCACTTGCATGGTGGTTGCTGATTTCAAAACAGTGAATTGCATTGACCTAAAAGAAACATGCTCTTCAGAGATGCGCACTATCAAATATACATGGGAGCAATTTTCAAGGGAATGAATGTGTCTGCTGCCATCGATGCTCCGTGGCAGATTTACCGCAGTATGTGGTATGCTTCAGTCCCTCTTGGTCTTCCGTCGTGGTCGCCTCTGAGCAACTGTGCATCAACCCTGTTCTGTCCTTTGCCTGGGCTTAGGCACTTCGCGTGACTTATTAGTCAGGGCGGGATGCAAATAAGGACAACGGTAATGTTTAAAACTGCTCTGACCTGCAAACACTTAACTGAGCTTCATGATTCAAAGAAAAGTCCTTTTCTACTTTGAATGAATTCAGCTGAATATCAAAGGTCTGGTGCAGGATCTGTTCTGGTAAGGGTATGAAAGCATTTCAAAAGGTTGGAGGAATCGTCTGCAAAAGAAAGTGCCAGGCAATCTAGATAGAGAGGTTGCTGTCAGCTTCCCCTCTAATCAAAAGCTTTTTAAATGCTCCTGGCCAGCAAGTTTTCATACAAAAATAAAATTGTTTTGATTCCTATCAAGGCTTTCCTGCAGCCTCTTACATTGCCTTTTTCACCATTTCACAATCAAGTTGTCTCTTACCTCTGATTCTTTGTAATAGCGCTCAGGAATTTCATCGCTGGCAATATCAATAAAGCAAACTTCTCGCTCCAGATCTTTAGCTTCTTTGTCAAAAATCTGCAAGAGTTAAAGAAATTCAACACTGTAACAGAACGCCACCCGTACAAAATCCACCTGGAATAATGGTTACAAGCCATTTTCAGTGACTTGAATAACGTATTTTAGGCTTACGCCTGAACAGCTTCTGATGTAAGATACTGAAGGTTTTGCAGGGACAGAGTCTCATTCTCTAGCCTACCCCAGTCATCAAAGGGAAGAAAATAGGTGTTCCTAAGCAGGATTAACAATGGTTTGAATGAATGATGCCACAGACGTTTTGGGGAACAATCCACTATGTCCGATCAAGAGACAGTGGGCTGTTCAATGTAACACATCGTCTTCAGCACTTACAGCTCACACCGCTGGTCTTCCTTGTGCTTTTTGGAACGGAGACTTTGGTCACAAGTAGTAAAGTTAACAACTAGGATTGGTTTTATTGTGTTCTCTAATCTTTGAACTGGATTCCATCACCATGTAAAAAACCTGGCTTTCTGGACTCTGGATGTTTCTGACCTTTTCACTCTGGGGACAATAACGAAACGCAGGTGTGTCGCGTGAACTAGCCACGCCAAGTTGCTGTTAGAACCGAGAATCAAAATTTTGGCTGAACTGCCCTCAGTGGAGGCTGGAAACTTCCACTATCCATTTGTGCACGCATAAAGCTTATTTTCATTTTAATCCTTTAGGACCTGGTTTTGAACACCAAGTCTCTTGTTCTATGCAAGGCAAATGATGGGTATATTTTGAGATAGGGGTCCATTTGCATCTGCAGCGTAGTATACTTCTGTGCCTGTGTCCATAATTTAATTATTTAGGCATCTTAGTGACCCATGTGACTTATGCTATGTCTGCAATAAATTTCTACTCGTGATTCTGGGACTTGGAAAGAGCGACTAGGTAAAAGGCTATCATGAATTAACGCCATAAAATTCAGGGAAGTTGTGCATACACTGTCAAGATCAGTAACAAGCTAACGATGTGTTTTTTCCTTTGGGGCACAGTGTTCTATAGCTAACGTTTCCAGGAAGCATAAATAGTTTTGTTTTCTTTTTTTAAAATAAATGCAGGGAACGCTCTGTTAATTTAATTTCATTTCATCCTAGAGGAACAGTTAAAAATACATAATGCCAGCAACTATTCAGTAACAAGGATGCTACTTTATTATTTCAGAAAGAAATGCGGCTGCCCATGTAAAGCATTCAAAGTGAGCAACGGACGACAGTGACCGCGTACACCAGCTGGTACGAAGAACACTGCTCAGGAAATCATCATTCAAATAAATGAAAAGCTAAAGTTTGACTCTACAATTTTCACTTGGCTCGGTAGTTAACAGTACTGGAATAAAAGAGGTAACACCGAATGCCTACTGAACTGGTAACTATAAAATGTTAACGTGTCTGAAACTGCAGAGCAGAACAAAGGGAAGCTCCAGTCTGTTCTTATCTGTGTGCTTATTCTCCTTCTCCAAGCCACCTTTTGCAAAAAATTGTGTTATTTGAATAAATTTGAGCTGAGGGGTCCTTCCCCTGTAGTGCTCTTTCCTAGAACTGGGGTACGTTTTTAAAAATCACTGTTATGTTTTAGATATATATAATATAGGTTGCTTTTTATAAGCTTCCTCGCTTGCTTTTTTCCTAAACCAATGCAGATATGCAGAGCAGTCCCTTGATGAAACCAGTTGAACTATTTTTGGAACAAGATGCGTTTCAGCATAATCTCTGAGCTTTAAACAAAATAATGGAGATTTCTCTTAAATGGACATTACCAGGTCAGCTGAGGCTCTGAATCAGAACTTGGTTTAAGTACAAGCCTAACAAATTTAAGCACCTGCATACCTCTGCATGTTTGCAAGGACCTAAATTGGGACTATTACCCAATATCTTATCTGCAGGAGCGTGCCCTGCTCTATCACAGGCTTGATCCACATACTGCACCTCTAAGTAAGAGAGTTTTACATTCTTCTTCTCTCTTGAGAATGCTTTGATAGCAGTGGGGATGACAGATGCCTTTGCCAATCTGTCAAAACCAGGAGGAATTTTTCAGCCATTTCAACTACACCTCATTTGCTGCTTAGGCTATCCCTGACCATTTCCTCCATTCCAAAAGTTTGTTGAATGACATTCTCACTTCCCTTTGCTGGCAGAAGCTGTTGTCTAATCATTTATGCTTCTGCCCGTCTTAGACTGTCTTCACAAGATTTGCAGATAGAGATTTAATCTTCTCATTCTATCAGCAGTAGAAAATAAGAAGTCATTAGAGAACAAGACTGATTTCTTTCTTAGCTCTAATTCTCTTATTGCCTCTCCTAGCCACATAATCTGGGATTGTCTGGGAACGTGTAGGGAGGATGGGTTTATCGCGTTTGTGATCAAAGAGACTAGAGAAATAAAGGAATGGATTAAAGTCCATGAAGAGCAGCATAAGGCTCCCAATCTGTGCAACTGTACTTGCAAATGTGCAGAAAATGAATGGTGAGAACAATCTGTATCCTTAAGAAGATGATGTAGAAAGGCAGAATATTAAATATTATATTGGAAAGAACTGGACAGGCTTTACATTTGCAAGCCAAGTAATTAATTGAGATTGAAATACACAATCAAATGGAAAACAAAGAGTAACATTCAGGCTGAAGTGTCCTTTTTGCTGTGTGTTTGGTTTTTTTTAGGAGGGGGGAGGGTGACAGCTTTTTTACAACAGACAAACATTTATACACTTCCACTTTCTAAGAGGAAGGAAAACTCATCATTATTTAGACAAAAAGTGGAAGAAAGGTTTTAATTGTGTCATCTTTACAATTGTCCATAGTTTCTTTTGGGGAAAATTTAAAAAAAAACCCTGGCAGATGATTCTAGTACCTCAGGAAAGAAAGATCATACAGGATACTGCAGGAATATAAGTGCTGGTGTATTTTAATTTCTTTCCTTCGTTTTCCTCCTGGCCTACAACGACACGTCCTAGCACACGCTTTGCTGGTGACTTCTCTTTTCCTTATAGCCGAAGCCAGAACAGAAAGTCAGCTTATGAGATGATGGTAAGTCAACAACAAATTTAATAGCTTTTTTCTACAAGCTCCTTTCCCATTTTTCTTCTTTTTCTTGTATCTTCAGGCTAAGTTGCTGGCTTCAACCTCACTCAGATGTAGCTAATCCAAAATTTAACTTTTATGGCCAATCACCAGAGCTAACCTGGTTTGGCTATAAATAGTATAAAGCCAGACTCAGCTGAATCCATTGATTACATTCACACGGGCTAACTCCTCACTCATCTACGCCCCGAGGACTCCGAGGGTCAAATCGGTGCTTGTTTGGCTTGGCTGTGTTCCATAATATATGATTCTGTCCTGTGATGTGGTTTGCTGATCATCAAGAGCAAAGAAGGTATTCAAGGGATTACCAGCTGGAAAGTTGTTTGTCTGTCTTTACTGCAACATGGTTTTTTTACCAGCCTAGATACAGGAGTTGTGGTCAGGAGGCTGTAATAAGGCAGCTAATTCGCATTTTAAACACTAATACTTGCAGGACATAAAATTTCCTGTGGAAACAGTTAAATAACAGGTCAACTTAGAAATAAAGACAAGCTGTTAGAGATGAAAGTGATAAGGCAACCTATACAGAAAATTCAATACTATAAACAAGTAAGTTGGAAAATGGGTGTGTTTTTTTCCATCTCTTGTGAGGGTTTAGGTGAGAGAAGATCTCTATGTTTTTCTTACTTGTTATGCTAGATCCAGATGGTCAGCCATTGCTGAGAAACGCAGCTAATGCAGAGAAATGAAAGGGCTAAGAGCTAGATTTTTTTCCAAAAAAGCAGAGCGCTCCGAAATGAATTACAGGCAGGTGACATGGTAGCAAACATGATTATCATCCCATGTGCTAAGTAATCGGACACCTGTGCCTATCTACAAACTTAAGCCAAAATGACTACAGTGTTCAATATACAACGCGTAAATGTAATTTATTGAGATGAGAATTTCTACTATAAATTAAATTTTGTCCTCTATTCAATCCTTCTTTGAGTTAATATCTATGCCTGAAAGCGTTGGTCTTCCCTCTCTGCCTCCCCGTTTTCCCTGCCCTGCCAACAAAGCCAACAGGTATCCCAACAGACTTAAATCTGGACTTTGCAGTAGCTGGACATCACAAGATGACATCTTAGTGGGATAGGTAGGCTATGACATAAATGGCATGACAAAACTATCTTTAAACACTAGAATTTGAAATTAAATTAAATTTATCTCTGCCTTTCTCGCTATTATAGTGATTCATTCATTGTCATTGAGCTTCAAGAAAACGGAAACAATACAGTATGCAGCTAGAGGAGTCCCCAAGCTTAGATGCATACGTGCAACATATACGCTCCTTTTTTGATTCAAACATTGATATTTCACTGAAGCTTTTGGGTTTCCTCTGTATCTTCTCTCGTCCCTGAAATGTAGGCTAGCTATGCAACTTGCAGGTATTGAGCAATCTGTATGATGACGAGCGCTTTCTGTGAGTAGAATACATATGTATCCATCATTTGTAGGATGGCTTAAATGTAGGTTTCATAGGATGTGAAAGTTAGAGGTATAACTGCAGTAAGGACTGCAAGAACAAGCTTTTTCTTTTTTTTTTTTCCCTATTAAAAAAGGGAAAATCTGGCACAAAACCTTCTCTCCAACTTGAAATTCTAATCTCCTTAGATTGCCATCGTCAGAACTACTGGCTAGTCTCCAATTTATTATTGCAGCATCCTTTCGCAGGTTGTATCATCTGGTCCACTTTAACTCTCATTTCTCTGAAGGAAAATTTACTCTCAAATAAAAACCCCACCTACTCAGAACTTCATCTATGGAGTTTTATTCAGTGTGTAACTTTTCTGTAAGTCATGTTCCAACCCCAGTTACCCCCAAAGTCCGTTACTTTGCTTTTGAGATTTACTTGGGCAAAGATGACAGGAATTGACCAATTTCAACCTGTTCACTGGCTAAAACTATTTATGTGGACACACATAATTGGGAGCAATTCTTCTGTGGAAAA